CACGGGACCCAGTGCACAGTCTCAGCCTGGGGTACAAGTGGAGACTGTCCTCGGGAAGCAGTGTGAGCACCAGTGTGAATAGCTGAGTAATTCCCAGCTAGTTTCACATCTGTCAGGCACAGAGTGGCCTTTGCCACACCAAACATGACTGTGAACCTAGCGACTTGGACAGATCAGTAGGTGGAAAACATTCCTGCTTCTGGACAAGGCTAATATCCAAATTTCAGAATGTCAGATCTGAGCCACATGCCAGTCGGTGGCTTTGGGGGGCAGTGAGGGAGAGAAGTGTGTCTCCCAGCCACCCTTCTAGAATGTTCAATCTTACACCGTCAAGGAGCATCTGTGAGGTCACACTCAGCCTCAGTCACTGTAACTTCTGGTGTACTCATGTCTAGCCAGTCACTTGGAAAGTTTACTGCTGGCTGGTCTTGGCCTGATACCTCATCTACCTCCAGATTGGCAGAGAGAACAAGTCAAGGCCTGGCTGCTGGAGGATCCCAGGAGCTCAGGGGGGATAAATAGTCCAGAGAGCATCAAACTCCAAACCTGTGTAGGTAAGGGAGAACCACAAAAAATAGGGGAGGGGTGAGAGAAAGTCAGGACCCAGACAGGGGTGGCGGAGTCGCTGTGAGAGGAGAGGCAGTCCGTCCAACTACCTTGAGTCATCGAGTCCCCCAGCAGGCAGATTCTCCTTGTCTTCCCACCTCCTAGAGACAAGCAGCCCCGGCTCTGTAGAAGAAGCTGCAGGCAGCCAGAGCAGCCAAGCCTGGGCTGAATGCTTCCGGGACACAGCAGAGTAGGATGGCAGGAAGGGCTGCCAGGCCTCAGAGCAGGCTTCCAGCCAGACTCTGGAACCTTCTGCTCCTGGTGATAAGGCCTAGGGTAAGTCCTGACGTCTGAAGGTGCAGGCCACACTCCAGCAACTAGAAGCTGGGGTGAGGCAGAAGCACCCCGTGGGGGCAGAATCGCAGGACTGGGCCAGGGCTGGGGCACTCCTGTGTGCACGGGCTCTCTCCCTGCACAGAGAGCAGGTTCTTAGTTCCATTCCCAGCAGGCTCTGGGCAGAAGTTTCTCAGGACAAACACTGGCTTCTTCAAGGCAAGAAATTCCCAGCACCGGTTTGCTAGTGTTTGACAGAAAGTGACTGAAGTCCCCACCTGCTGGTGATGGCTTGGGGAGGTGAGAAGTCCTCTGTCAGGAAGGCTTTGCCCAGCACCCTTGTTGCCCCCTCTTCCAGGGTTACAGGGCGCTCATTTCCAGTTCTCCCTTAACTTCAGAGACAAAGACACAGACACACAGACACACAGACACAGACACAGACACAGACACAGACACAGACACAGACACACAGACACACAGACACAGACACAGACACACAGACACAGACACACACACACACACAGACACACAGACACACACACACACACACACACACACACACACACACACACACACACACACGGAAAAATGAAAGTGATGCAATCTGTTCAGTTTTAACTGCTGAACCCCACAGTAAGCATGATCTTAGGATTTTCTTCACACGCCAAGGGCCAGGGCTGGTGGCGACAGGGAGATAGCTCTGCTGCTGCTGCAGTACCTCAGGGTCCCTGAGATAACTGTGGGGTTGGTCAGCGGGGGAGGGCTCTCTGTGCCAGACAGTGAGAACCTTCCAGTGGGGCTTGCTCCACCATTAACGAACCCTCTCCTCTCCCCTTTTCCTCCCTCTCCCCTTCTCCATTTCCGAGTCAAACTCTTTAAGTTTGGTCCCAGGAGGCCGTTGAAGGGCAGCTTCAGGAGACGTGAATTCAGGCACTCACTCCAAGAAGACTGAGGAAATCAGGGCTGAGAGGGAGGAGATGCAGGGGTGCAGGAGAGGGTCAGGAGGGCTGGGGGGAGTGAGGCAGAAGAGGTAGAAGAGGTATGGGCTGGGTGTTGGTGGGAGGGATGCAGAGGAGAGTCAAGAGGGCAGGAAGGGGTGGAGACTGCGGGGCTTCCGGGCAAGGCTGAGTAGCTGAGATCTTTCATTTCATTTTTTATCTTCAAAAATGTTCATGAATAAGAGTTTAAAGATTTCTCAAACCATAACAGAAAGTTTGTCTGGACACAAAAGAACACCCGTGGCTCTTGTCGGTTTCCTCAGAAAGCTGCAGTCCCTTTGCTCACAGGTGGGGCTATCTGTAAGGACACAGCAATCGGGTTGTGTGTCAGAGGACAACTAAAGGAATGGCCTTGTTGAGGGAGGCCAGGAGCAGGGACACCGGTGACGGGGGCAGTGAGGGCTGAGTGCTCCACAGCAAGGACAGCTGTCATCCCCGGGTCTTCCGTGGTCCTGCCACTCAAGATGCAGGGCCATCAGGTGCCAGACACTCAAAGACAAAAGTGAAGTTAGGAGCCCCTGGCAAAGGAGGGGGACCCCGGGGCAGCAGCCCTCTGAGGGTCTCAGGGGAAGGAGGGATTCCACGCTCTTGGAGGCTGGCATCCTGACTTTCTACCTTGTCCCATCGGTACTCAGCCGTACCCATCGGTACCTGGCAGGAGACGAGGGGGAGGGGGGAAGGAGAGGGAAGGGGAGAAAGAGAGAGGGGGAGAGTGAGGAAGAGGGAGGGAGAGGGAGAGAAGGAGCTTGAGGAGGAGAAGAGCTATACTGTCCAGCCCTTACCAAGTCCGGGCCAAACTTGGATCAGCGTCCCTGTGACATCCAAGTTGCCTGGGTTTTCCATGAGAAAACAGGCTTGGGGCTCCCCAGAACTGTGTGCAAAATCTCACAGTCTAAACCAGCACTCCAGCTCAGGTCTGGGTTTCCCATGAGCAAACAGGCTTGGGGCTACCCAGAACTGTGTGCAAAATCTCACAGTCTAAACCAGCACTCCAGCTCAGGTCTGGTCCAGATCCTAGAGCTCAGCCTTTCCCACCTATTCCCTGCTGCACACACACACGCACACAAAGCTTTTCTTTGTATGATTTTAGCCAGTACAAACGGCTCCACAAACCCAAGGCTGTAAACTATACACTAAAGCCCATCACTCAGGAATTGACATGTCCTAAAAATAGAAAAGATTGCATTTTTTTTACCTCTCTCTGAATTCTCAAACCATCCCAGGGACCAAAATGTCAGAATTTCCTCCTTGAGGTGAGAATATCTTCCTGCCATGTCACGAATCAGCCACACGGTGGTGCCATTGAGGGCCTGTCCAACAGATCCAGTGATTTGTGATTTGCTGGTAGCCAGCCTGGCCGAGAGGCACCTTTTTCTTTTTCTATTTGTGGTACTAGGATTGTGCCTAGCACATAGTAGGCAAGCTTCTATCCCCGAGCAAATCCCCCAACCCCAGCTGCCCAGCACCTTCCTAAAGCAGCAGCAGCCAGGTCCTTTGGACTGCGAATCTAAGTATGCAAAAGCCATACAACAAGTGAGATGTGTCAAACTATATAGTTTTTTTAATGTGACTAAAACCCTGCAAAAAATATCACAGATGACCAAGTTTAATTACTGTGTGTGCCTGGTTGTGCTGCTGGTGCCATTGTCTGCATGATTAATAAGGTCATAAGTCATAAGCTTGCTATTGCTCCCATAAAATTTATTTTCCCTGTCGTTATTCAGCAAGTCTCTAATTTCAGTCTGTTAAGATCTTCACAGATCCATGCTCAACCCGTAGCAGAGACAAGCCACACAAGCTTTCTTGAACCCAAATCACTTTTATATCTTTAACTTAGTGTAGAGCACTTCCTTCCGCTGAGGCAATAGTAACTGGAATTCCCTAAAATTCTCGAAGCGAAGCTTAGTTTTGGAAATTAACCACAAATTGAATGCATCATGATCGAGTACTAGAGTCCATCATAAAAATAGGTGAGTGGGTTTTTGTCACTGCAGAAGATATGACAAAATATTTTTTTTTTTTTTTGGTTTTTCGAGACAGGGTTTCTCTGTGTAGCTTTGCGCCTTTCCTGGATCTCGCGCTGTAGACCAGGCTGGCCTCGAACTCACAGAGATCCGCCTGCCTCTGCCTCCCGAGTGCTGGGATTAAAGGCGTGCGCCACCACCGCCCGGCATGACAAAATATTTTAATGCTTTAATTTCATAACAAAAATTCCCAAATGCAGCTCATTGTGGTTTTCAGCCATTCTTATTGTTCTGAAGTAATTTGTGGATTGAACAGCTCAGCACACACTAATTCATTGGGGCAGTCTTCCACTGGGCACAAACTTTCTGTTCTCATTTACCCTTTCCTGACTGTGATTCCAAACTATTGAATTCAAAACCCAGAAACAATCCAAAACTCTTAAATAACCTCTGTTACAGTTAACCATTACATTGTATTTCATCATTAGTTACTATGAATCTTATTGTGCCCAATTTATAATTCTTTCCACTTTCTCAAACACATGTATGTATAGGAAAAAACAGTGTGTGCAGGTTGCAGTGTTATCTGTGAGTCCAGGCATCAGCTGAATGCCTCGGGATACTTCAACTATGGATGAAAGAGGATGACTATACATACATGTGTTATGTTGGTTTATCTTTGGTCAACTTGATACAAGCTAGGGTCATCTGAGAAGAGGGAACGTCAGCTGAGAAAAATGTACCCATCGAATTGTCCTGTGAACAGGTGTGTGCTGCATTTTTGGGGCTGATGATTGATGTGGGAAGGCCCAGCCCACTATGGGCATTGCAGCCCCTGGGCAGGTGGTCCTGGGTTGTACAGGAAAGCAAACGGAGCAAGCCAGGAGGAGCAATCACTCCTCCACGGCGTCTGCTTTAGTTCCTGCCTCTTGGTTCCTTCCTTGAGTTCCTGTCCTGTCTTCCTTAGATGATGGACTATGGTGTGGAAATGTAAGCCAAATAAGTCCTTTCCTCCTCGTGGATCTTTTGATCTTGATGTTTTGACAAAGTAATAGAAACCCTAAGTCACCTGTGAAGAGACTCGGGTTTGCCCTGTGGCGGCCGGGTGCTGTGATGCTAACCCTGTTTCTTGCCTTCTGACTTTCTTTTACAGTGAATGCTTTTCCTGTACCCTTGGTTGGAATCTTAAAATGTGATGTCTTCAGTGACAACTCAGCACTTTCCTTCCTGAGAGAAGTTTTTCTTTTTAAAATTTATTTTTTAGTTTTTTGAGACAGGGCCTCACTACGTATCTCGGGCTGGCCTGAAACTCACTGTATAGACCAGGCTGGCCTCAAACTCACAGAGGTCTACCTAGCTCTGCCTCCAGGGTGCTGGGATTAAAGGTGTGTGCCACCAAGCCTAGCTCATGCAAGAATTTTTCATCTGCCGTTCACATGTACTGCAAAAACACCAGCGGCTGAGGAGAACTCTGTGTCATCCTTAGAAATTTCTACAACAAAAAGTAGGTATAAATGCGGTCTCTAAACCCAGATATGATGAATCTAATATGTCTCAGGATTCCCATTCTAGAGCACAATCTCTATATAACGCCTTCTTCCTGAGTGTAGAACTGGGCTCTACCACAGGTGTCCCTCATGAATAGGCACATGGCAGTCAACTTTGAGATCACCAAGAGGGAGACTGTTTGGATTATCCTGGGCATGCCTGATCCAGTCAGAGGAGTGTATAAAAGAAGAGTCCAGACAGACCTGGCTTGGAAGGTCCCAGACTGCTGTGTTGCTAACTGCCTGTGGGGTCTGGCTGGCAGAAGAGCAGCCTCAAGCAATACACAAGTTGCTAGCTGACCAGCAGTTACCAAGGAAGTGGAGGATCCTAGTCTTGTACTACAAGATCGGAGAGAGTCAGGTGGTGAGCTCCACCTAAGGGATGACAGAGCAGAACCTGGCAAATCCCGAAGTAGAGGTTCTACTTGGCCGTGTGTGAACTGACCCACAAACCTCTGAAGTAGCAGAACCAAGAGCCCTTCAGTCAGCGCTGTCTTTTGGTGTGGTCTGCCCTCTGAAGGCTCCTGTGTGGGATGTTCAGTGTTCCGTGTAGCCCATGTTGAGATGTTGAGACCTTTAAGAGACAGGGCTTAATTGGAGGGGAGTGTGTTTTGGGGTTCTAACCTCATGAGTGACTAATGCTCTATCATGGGAGTGGATCAGACCCTATGGGACTGGCTAAGTCACCACAAGAACATTATTGTAAGCCCGACACCTCCCTGAATCCCTCTCTTAAACATGGCTCCCACCATTGTAACATCCTCCACGTGGTTTCCCATCAGAGTCCCACCAACAGCAGAGCCACACTCTTGAGTCTCCAGAACTGTAGGCTAAATTAGCCTCCTTTATCATTAAAATACCCAACCTCGGGTATTTTAAGGAAGGGGGGGAATCTCAGCCTTGTCACTACAAGGTTGAGGAAAGTCATGTGGCTTGCAAATGGAATTTGCCAGTAACCCGCATCAGCTTGGAAGAGGATGAATCTCCACAGAGCAGAGGAACGCAAAACACACTAGAAGAGCTATGAAATTATAACATGTGGCTCAGCTCACAACTGTGTTTTGTTTACGCCCCTCCCCACAACAGACTTCTTTCACGGCCTTGTCTTTGCATTTCTATTGCCCCATCTCCCAAGGCTGCAACCCTCAATCAGGGACCTCAGGGAGGACCCCCTGTGTTCTAGGGTCCCATGGTCACCTCCTTCTGAGCACCAGATCCACTAGTGTATTTCAGTCCCACCTGCTCCTCGCGGGCGTGTCTCGGAGGCTTCCTCCTGGAGCCACTGTACTGCACTACTTTGAGAGAACTTTGTCAGGGACGATACTTCACAACATCGCCAATAACAATATTCACTCTTGTAGAGTCTCTGCTGTTTCCACTAAGAAGAGGATTCCAGTCCCTCCCCTTGCACCTGAGTGAGCTGGTGACTGTAGATTTGCTGGACAGCCGGTCCCAGAGGTGGGACAGAGGGAGCGAAGGGAAAGAACCATGTGTCATTCATTTCTGGATAATGACATTTTCCAGGGTCATTTCCCTGAGAGAAAAGAAGGTTGAAGAGGGGTGTCCTTGGGTCCCCTTCCTCCAAAAAGACCTCAGGTAGGTCTTACTCCTGCACAATGTCCTACCTCTGGGCTACTCTGGTGGTGCCTCCTCCTTGGGTTCTGGGCCACAGTCTGGAGTGATTGCCAGTGTCACCCATCACTGCTGAAGCGTTGGTCTGCACCCCCAACTTCTCTGAGTTCCCTCCTGTCTGTGTGTTGTTACATGGGATTGTGCCCAGCATACCATATGGTGTGTCAAGAATGAGCATAAGCAGGGCCGTGAGCTGCCTACAGCCACTGCCCTCTCCTTGGCTCTATGGAAATGTCCTCTGAGAATTTCTTCATATTCCTGTCTCCTTCATACTCCATTCTCCCTCTCCTCTTCCTAGGCCGTAGGACCCAGAGTGTGGTTCATAGAAGAACTGAGGTCCTGGAACCTCTGGGCCTTGGGAGATGTTTGTGGAGGATACTACTTTCAGAACTGCCCACAACGACTTGAACAACTTGAGCATCCTAGTCCCTCACACTGTACATGGTGAGATTTTAGGACCTGGTCCTAGTGGGTGACTTTGCTGGGTGACTGCTGAGGCGCAGACACCTTCCATCTCTGTTTTTCTTGGGCCATTTTCCCCTGATCCCAGACACCACGGTGTGAGGAAGTCCAGGCAACATAGAGAAGCCATGAGTCAGTGTTCTGGCGGACAGCCCAGCTCAAGTGCTCAACACCAGCAGTGTTTGACTGCCACATATGTGAGGGAAGAGCCTGCCGCTGGTCCCAGACGGAGAGGAGAAAGCCCACAGAAACCACAGAGGATAATAACCGATTAGTACCCTTTTAAAGTTAACCTTTTTGTTTTGAGATAGTTGTAGTAGAAGTCAACAATGCTCGAGAGATTCCCCTGTACCCTCCACCAGTTCTGCCAAGGCTGACATCCTGCAAAACTACAGGACAGCCAAGAAGTAGTCACACCCACAGCCCTCCTGCCCCCACAGCTTCTTCCTGGTACCCTTTTATGTGATGCCCGTCCTGCCGCCCTGCCCGTCCTGCCGCCCTGCCCGTCCTTTTCTTTAACTCCTGATGACCACAACACTATGTGGGTTTTGTTTTTTTTGGTTTTTTTTTTTGTTTGGAATTTTCCATTTTAAAAGTGGTACCTGGGCGGAATCACAGTGTGTGGCTATTCGGAGTTGGCTTCTTTTACTCAGAGTGACTCCCTAGAGACTCATCCAAATTACATATGCATTAGCTTGTTCTGTTTTGTGGCTTATCCTTAAGCCTTCACTTGTTGACTATCTGGGCTGTTTCCACCACGAATCTCTTATAAACCAAGCTGTTCTGAGCTCTCATGTACAGACGTTCATGTGAAAAATACAATCTTCGGTTTCCTGGGATGAGTGCCACAGTGCAATTGCTGGGTCATATGGTAGTCACGCACGTCATTTTATAAGATGCCAAACTGTCTCCTGGAGTGCCTGTGCCATGTCATATTTCCTCAGCTCTGTACGCGTCATCCATTTCTAGTCCTCTTAGTCAGTGTTTGTTGTTTTTAATTGTGGTGAAATATGTGTGGCAGAAATAATTTACCATCTTAGTCACTTCTGAATGGAGAGCCAGGGTAGCCTGACTCTAGAAGTCTTCCCATCCTGCCAATCTGAAACTGTTCTTATCAAACACAAACTCCTCATCCTCCCTCCCCCCACTGTCTGGCCAACCTCCACCCTATTTCCTGTTGCTATCAGTTTGACTTCCCCAGGGCCCTCCAATGAGTGCCATCTGATACATGTCCTTTTATGACGGGCTTATTGCACTGAGTACAATGTCTTCAAGGTTCATACCCGTGGTAGTATGTGTCTGAATTTCTTTCCTGTTTAGGGATAAATAACATTCCACTGCATGGCTATACCACAGTTTTTTTTTTTTTTTTTTTTTTTTTTTGGTTTTTCGAGACATATACCACAGTTTTTTAATGGGACTATCCACCAGTGGACACTTGTGTTTCTTCCTCATTTGTGATATTGTGGATAACACTGTTGTGAGCACAGGTATAAAAATAGTTACTCAAGATCCCGCTTTCAGTCTCTAGAAGTACCATGTTGTGGTTTGACTAGAATTGGCCCCCAGAGGCCCATAGGGAGTGGCACTATTAGGAGTTATGGCCTTGTTGGAGTCAGCATGGCATTGTTGAAGGAAGTGCATCGCTAGGAGGTGGGCTTTGAGGCCTCAGATACTCAAGCCAGTTCACTTCCTGCTGCCTGTCAATCCGGATGTAGGACTCTCAGCTCCTTCTCCAGCACCATGTCTACCTGCATGCTGCCATGCTTCCCACCGTAACGACAGTGGACTAAATCTCTGAAGCTGTAAGCCAGTCCCAGTTAAATGTTTTCCTTATGAGAGCTGCCGTGGTCATGGTGTCTCTTCACAGCAATAGACACTCTAACTAAGACACCAGTCCAGAAGTGGGATTGCTGATCATGATGCATCTTTCAGTTCCTTTTCCTTATGTATGTATATGTGTAGGAACATGTTCATGTGTGTGCAAGTGTATGTGTGCTTGAAAAGCAACATTTTAACTATGGAGCCGTCTCCCTACAGAGCAGTCTTGGTGAGTTTTGAAGAACTGAATTATTTTGTTGCACCTATTGAATGGGTCAGAGGTGTTCTCTTACTGTGATTCTGACTGTTCCGTAATTGCTTGATGATGTCAAGCTTTCCCTGTGCTTGTTGCCGTTTATGTATGTTTGGTGAGACTTGTAAGCAAGTCCTTTTCCTGCTTCTCAATTTCTTTTGGCTGTTGCTGTGTTGTAGTGATTCTTTCTGAAATTTATGTAATAACCCTTTATCAACTATGTGACTTGCAAACAACACCCCCCACCACACCCCACCCCGGCCTCTGCTCCATGGGTCTCCTCTTCATTGCACTGGTCGCATCCTTTGACCCATGAGCTTCCAGTTTCTGTGTAGTCTGAGTGCCTCAGTTTTAATTTATTGCCTTTGCTTTCAGTGTCATGCTCAGAATGTTATTGTCAAACCCAAGCTCGTGGAACACTTTCCCCTCATTTTCTTCTAAGAGATTTATGTTTTTAGCCCTAAGAGTTTGGCCTCTGACACATTCAAGCTCATTGACCTATATTTTATACGGTCCACTATAAAAAAAAGTCCACCTTTTTTCTTTCTTTCTTTCTTTCTTTCTTTCTTTCTTTTTTTTCTTTCTTTCCTCTCTCTCTCTCCCTCCCTCCCTCCCCTTCCTCTCTCTCTCTCTCCCCCCCTCTCTCTCTCCTTTTCTCTTTTTTTCTGTTTATGGCTATTAGCTTTCTGCTCATGGTTTGTTAAAGGCCTGTCTTTCCCCATTGAAGAGTCTTCGCACTATTCCTCATATACTCTACTGTCTGGAAGGAAATGTTGTCCCATGGTAGAACTGAAACTAAAGCCAATTTTAAAAAGAAAATTATTTGACTCAATGTGGGAGAGTTCTGGGCTTTCTATTTTATTCAGGTGGTCCATGTGTCTGCCTCTCCACCAGCGACACACCGTTTGAATGCTGTAGCTTTGTAATGAGCTTTCTAAACAGGAAGCACGAGGCCTCTGGCTTTCTTCTTTTTCAAGAGTGTTTTGGCTACTTGGGGCCTTTTGAAACTCCGTGTGAATTTTAGGATGAGCTTTTCTACTTTTGAAGGAACCATAACTGGGATTCCGTAGGATTAATTGTATCCATAGACTACTTTGTATATTATAACAGGCTCTTGGGAATGGCTTGTTCTAAAAACCATGGACTGCTCACTGGGGCTACAAGATAACTGAGGAGTGAGGATAAAGGCCTGATGTCTTTGCCTTCACTTTGATCCTGTTGCCTTTACTTTCAGTCACCACCCACCACTGCAAGACCTTAATCACTCAAGGAATATCCATCCCGAAGCCAGGATTACCTAAACTTTCTCATGCTTCTTTGAGGTGGAAGGATCAAAGGTCACTGTCCTAACCACACAGGCACCCAGAGTTCCTGGAATAGCAAAGCCCCAAAAGCAGGGCATGTAACTAGAGTTTTCCTGCCTAGCCCACAGTCAGGATAAATCTCTGCCACCCGCCAGTCCCACAACCGCTCAGACCCAACCAAGTAAACACAGAGACTTATATTGGTTACAAACTGTATGGCCGTGCCAGGCTTCTTGCTAACTGTTCTTACAGCTTAAATTAATCCATTTCCATTGATCTATACCTTGCCACATGGCTCGTGGCTTACTGGCATCTTCACGTGCTGTTTCTCATCATGGCGGCTGGCAGTGTCTCTCCCACCCAGCTTCCTGTTCTCTCAATTCTCCTCTCTGTTAGTCCCGCCTATACTTCCTGCCTGGCCACTGGCCAATCAGTGATTTATTTATTGACCAATCAGCAACACATTTGACATACAGACCATCCCACAGCACTTCCCCTTTTCTTTTCTTAAAAAGGAAGGTTTTAACCTTTACACATCTCCAAAGTCAGCTTGGTATATTTGGGAATTTGGGCGTAGCTTCTCTTACTACTTCCTGCTGGAGGGGGGCGCTGTATCTTCTGGGGACACAAAGAATATTTTAGGATTATGGAATAGTCCGTGAGGCTGTATCGTCTGAGCCAGTTGCCTTGAAACCATTCCAGATGTTGGATCATCTGGGCCATGGTGTCATTGGAGACCTTTCAGGGGGTCTTGGCTGGTCAAACCTGATGTATCTTAATCTGGAACAAATCCATAGCCTCTGGCTTTCTGTGGAAACAAAAGCAGAGACTCTTTTCCAAAGCAACATATCCTTATATCCAAATTTTGAAGTCAAGGTACCTTTAAAATATACATATTGGTTTAACTCAACATCTTTTATGATCAAATGTTTTTCTGCAGTTAAAAATCCCAAAGACAACACAATCCAGATTCTCTGTGTAATATCCATCTTTACGTGGCTTATTTTTTATATTAATTTTACTGTCTCTTTAAAGACTTTAGTTTTTAAAACTATGTATTTGTTTCATAACTGTATATATCACCTTTTTTGTCTCTTTCAAGCCTACATATCCTTTATACACATTTTAAACTATTACATCTGAATCTGTCTTATTGTGAGTTTATTGCTTTAGGCTGCAGCAGCTGTGGCTGCTGGCTCCACCCACCTCAGCTTCCCAACATGGCAGCAGTATTACCGCCAGCTCTGGGAGCCATCGTGGGTCCATGCCTTTATCCAAGCAGCGTGCAGCCCAGAAACCTCTTTTTTTTGTTTTGTACTAGCAAAGTCTAAATCCACCACGCAGCTTAATGTGCCACTTGCAGAGGCCTCATTCCCGCCATACTGCAGGTCGAGCACGCACGCTAGAAACCCGCCAGTAGCTCAAACCAGCAGCTGCCGCTCATTTGAGAGAGACAATTAGGAACTGTTTTTAGCTCCGTTTTAGAATCTTTTTTCTCAGTTTTTAGGTGGAAACTCTTGCCACCACGTTGGACACCATTTGTAGCTAGAGTTTTCCTGCCTGGCCCACAGTCAAGATAAATCTCTGCCACCCGCCAGTCCCAC